GGAGTGGGAGTGAGGGAATGGGAGAGGGGAGTGAATGGGAGTGGGAGTGAGGGAGTGGGAGTGAGGTAATGGCAGTGAGGAGGGAGTGAGGGAATGGGAGTGGGAGTGAGGGGATGGGATGAGGGAGTGGGAGTGAGGGAATGGGAGTGGGAGTGAGGGAATGGGAGTGAGCAGGTAACGGGAGTGAGGAGGGAGTGGGAGTGAATGAGAGAATGGGAGTGAGGGGATGGGACGGAATGGAAGTGGGAGTGAGGGAGTGGGAGTGGAGAGGCGGGGTTTCCCGCGGTTTTGGGGTGGGAACCGTTTCCAGTTTCGGTTCTGGCTGCTGCTGGTGTGTTGGTTTTTTGAAGATCGCGCCTAAAGTGGGCCTGGAGGTTCGGAGCGAGCGATGAGCCAGAGGAAGGCAGCAGGCCGGGCGGCAGGGAGAGCCGGGGCCGGGGGGGTCGGCGGAGGGCTGTCCGGGAAAGCCGGCGGCTCGGGCAGTACGGCTGACGGGCCGAAAGGCCAGGCTGGGAGAGGGGGTAAGGAGGTGGGTGTGAGGAAGTGCAGCATCCCCGGGGGGAGCCGCCGAAAGGACAGCGAGAGCGCCGGGGGGGTACTGGGGAGAGGAGGCAGCAATAAACCGGGGGCGGCGAGGCCGAGCAGCGGGGGCCGGGGGAAAGGGAGGGCTGCTGCCGGGGATAGTAGCGATAGCGGGGGCCGAAGGGTCACGGCGGTGAGAGCCGAGGACCTGAACAAAGCGCTGAGGAATGTGGTAGAACACCTGAGGATCAGGTCGGTGCAGAAATCCCGAGCATCGAGACAGGTCAATGAGGTGGTGGATCACTTACTCCGATACATCAGGAAGGAATCTGGAGGCTGTTTCGCTGATGTGGAAAAGTTGGCCAGTGGCAGCTACTATGAAAACGTGAAGGTTATTCACTTTTTTTAAACAAATTTCACCTGCTGGTTCCCCCCGCCCAACTTTCTTTTCTCTCAAATATTTCCCTCTTTCTGATTGTGCTTTTAGTTTCATTTTCCTCATGTGTTTGGGAGATAATCTTGAAACGGAACTGTCTGCCACCAGCCCCAGGGCACTTTTATCTCACAGAGATAGCAGGAACTGCAGATGCTGGAGAATCTGAGATAACAAGGTGTGGAGCTGGATGAACACAGCAGACCCTTTAGAAAGAAGGGTCTAGGCCCGAAACGCCAGCCTCTCTGCTCCTCTGATGCTGCTTGGCCTGCTGTGTTCATCCAGCTCCACACCTTGTTATCGCACTTTGCGTCGTGAACCTAGACCCCGCCTCTTCAGGTGGATCGTCGCCTCTCCGAGTAAGTTGTCCCAACTTTCCACCTTTTCCCTGCCGAAATCTGCCCTTAACTTAAGGCAGGTCCCCTCTGGGTTCGTCGACTGCGCCGCTGATCTGTCCATTCGGCCCCTCTGTTTGCTGCTACCTCTCAGGAGATGGGCTGCCAGCCGCCGCCTCCTGCGGTTTGTCTCTCTCTGTGGTGTCTGTCAAACGATTACTGTCTGCTCGGAGCAAGTGGCCGAAAGTTTGGTGCTCAAGGTACGGAGTCGAGGTGGGTGGGAGTGAGGGTATAGGGGCATGGGTCACTTCCTCAGTTACCGTGCTGAGCAAGCCAGGGGAGGTTTAGGAGTGAATCTGGGATCTCCTCTCTATTCACTGACCCTGTCTCTCTCATGCTGCACCCTCCCCCGAAATCACAGGATCCCTCCCTCTGGCATTGGGAGCAGCTGCAAAGGCAGGAGATTGAGTGAAGCTGCTGAATGGCCGGCTCTGGTCAGAGAGTGGCCGCTGGGAGGGTTTGTCAGTGGTCAGAGAGTTGACCCCAAGCAGTGGGTTGTCAGTGGTCAGAGAGTGACCCCAGGAAGTATATTGTCGGTGGTCAGACTGACCCTGGGCAGCAGGTGTCAGTGGTCAGTGATTCCACTGAAGGGGTGGTGATGGTCAGTGAGTGACCCTGGAGGAGAGCTTTCTCTTACTGACTCGTGGGATGTGGGCATCACTGGCTGGGTCAGCATTTATTGCCTGTCCCTAGTTGCTCTTGACAAGTTGGTGGTGGTGAGCTGCCTTCTTGAACCGCAGCAGTACACATGCTGTAGGCTGACCCACAATGCTATTAGGGAGGGAATTCTAGGATTTTGACCCAGCGACGGTGAAGGAACGGTGATATATTTCCAAGTTAGGATGGTGAGTGGCTTTGAGGGGAACTTGGAGGTGGTGGTTTTCCCATGTATCTGTTGCCCATGACCTTCTACATTGGAAGTGGTCGTGGATTTGAAAGATGCTGCATAAGAATCCTTGGTGAATTCCTGCTGTGTATCTCGAGCATTGGCGGGAGAGGAAGTGGATGCTTGTAGACCTAGTGCTAATTAAGCGGGCTGCTTTGTCCTGGATGGTGACAAGCTTCTTGAGTGTTGTTGGAGCTGCACCCATCCAGGCAAGTGGGGAGTATTCCATCACACTCCTAACTTGTGCCTTGTAGATGGTGGACAGGTTTTGAGGAGTCAGGAGGTAAGTTACTCGCCGCAGTATTCCCAGCTTCTGACATGCCCTTGTTTATGTGATATTTCCAGTTGAGGTTCTGGTCAATGATAACCCCCAGCATGTTGATAGAGAAGGATTCAGTGATGGTAACACCATTGAATGTCAATGAGTGATGGTTAGATCGCCTGTTATTGGAGGTGGTTATTGCCTGGCATTTGTGTGGCACGAATGTTACTTGCCATTTGTCAGCCCAAGCCTGGATATTGTCCAGATTTGAATATGGACAGCTTCAGTATCTGAGTAGTCACGAGTAGTGCTGAAAGTTGATTGCGCTCATCAGAGAACCCCACTTCTGACCTTATGATGGAGGGAAGGTCATTGATGAAGCAGCTGAAGATGTTTGGGCCGAGGACATTACCCTGAGGAAAACCTGCAGAGATGTCCTGGAACTGAGATGATTGACCTCCAACAACCGTGACCATCTTCCTATGTGCCAGGTATGACTCCAACCAGTGGAGAGTTTGGCCCCTGTTTCCCATTGATTCGACTTTTGCTTGGGTTCCTTGATGCCACACTTGGTAGAATGCAGCCTTGATGTCAAGGGCTGTCACTCTCACCTTACTTCTGGAATTCAGCTGCTCTGTCTATGTTGGTCAGGAGCTGAGTGACCCTGGCAGAAGCAAAACTGGGTGTCGCTGAGCGGATGTTGCTTCATAGCACTGTTGATGATAACTTCCATCACTACTGATGATTGAGAGTAGAATGATGGGGCATTATTTGCCTGAATTGGATTTGTCCTGTTTTTTGTGTACAGGACACATCTGGGCAATTTTCCACATTGTTGGACAGATGCCAGTGCAGTAACTGTAATGAAAGAGCTTGGCTGGGAGAGCAGCAAGTTGTGGAGCACAAGTCTTCAGTACTATTGCTGGAATGCTGTCAGGGCCCATAGACTTTGCAGTTTCTAGTGTCTCCAACCATTTCTTAATATCACATGGATGAACTAAATTGGCTTAAGACTGGTATCTGTAATGCTGGGGACTACTGGAAGAGGGTGAGACAGATCATCCAATTGGCACTTCTAACTGAAGATTGCTGCGAATGCTTTGGTATTATCTTTTGCAGTGATGTTAAACTCTTCCCCGTGCACCCTCCCCTGAGACCAGCCTATGGAATGCCTACCTTTCTACCCTGGACCCCAGAAATTCTTTCCATTTAATTACATCCTCCAATCTTAAAAATGTCCCCATTCCCTCAGATAGCATTCACCTTCCCTGAGGGAGGAGAGAGGCCTCCTTTCCTTAGGTTTCCACAGCATCACTGCATAGCATACAGAAATCTCCATGTTGCAGGGTGCTCCTATGTCTGACCTACGTTGGAAGAATTACACCCTTACTCTAGCAATAGTCACCCTGCTAGGTAACATTGTCAGTGCGCCTCTGGTGAAGCGTTAGTGTTCTGTCTTATTTGTATGCCTTGGTTTGCTGGGGTGGTAGGCATTACTTCCAGTTCTGTTTTTCAGTGGTTTGTATATCGGGTCCAGTTCAATGTGTTTGTTGACGCAGTTCTGGTTGGAATGCCAGACCTCCAGGAATTCCCTGGCATGTCTCTGTTTGGCTTGTGCTATTATGGATGTCTTGTCCCAGTCAAATTTGTGTCCTTCTTTGTCCATGTGAATTGAGACCAGTGAGAATTGGTCGTGTCTCTTGGTGCCTAGTTGGTGTTCATGTATCCTTATTGTCAGTTTTCTTCTAGTTTGGCCTACGTAATGTCTCTCACAGTCCTTGCACAGTATTTTGTATATTATGTTAGTTTTATTGGTTGTGGGTATGGGGTCCTTTACGTTCGTCAGTAATATATGTAAGTAACAAGCGGGACAGAACACCAACGCTTCACCGAGGTGCACTGACTATGTTACCTATTCGGGTGACGAAACATCTGCAATCAACCACACTGGCTCAGCGAGCAAGTCTACAACCTAAATCACTTGTTATTGCTAGAGTAAGGGTGTAACTCTTCTAACACAGAAAAGTCATAGAAGCACCCTGCAACATGGAGATTTCTGTATACTATGCAGTGATGCTGTGGAAACCTGAGGAAAGGAGACCTCTCTCCTCCCTAAGGGAAGAATGCTATCTGAGGGAACGGGGACATTTTTAAGGTTGGAGAATATAATTAAATGGAAAGAATTTCTGAGGTCCAGGGTAGAAAGGTAGGCATCCCATAGGGTAGTCTCAGGGGAGGAACAAATGCTAGAGGCAATGGAACACTCGACCAGAATGTTCTAGAAGGGTTGGTGCCTTTCATAAAAGCGTAAGAAGTAGGAGTTGGAGTTGGAATAAAGCTCTTTGAACCCGAGCCATTTGCTAAGATCAGAGCTGAACCCTGACACCAAGTTTTGTTTTACCTTCTTTTTCGATTCCCTGACTTTTGGAAACCCATCAATCTCAGTCTCCAATTTAGACGACTGAACATTCACACCCCTATGGGGCAGAGAATGCCAAGATTCATAATCCTTCAAGTGAAGAAATTCATCTTCATCTCAGTCTAAAACAGCTGGAGAGAGTGGGGAGATGGGTTTGGTGGTGGGATCATGTAGCAGAAGACAATTTGATGAATGCAGAGGCCAGTGAGTTGTATGGTCACTGTGTGTGTGTGCGCGTGTTTGGAGGGTTGGGGGAAGAGGAACAATGAGCTGATGAGATCATCTTTATTTCAGCATTTTACTTTTGGTCTCTGCAGATTTCAGAACCAAATGAATTTGACATAATGATCATCATCCCTATTAAAAGAATTGAGTTTCTGGAAGTGGACGCTGAAGGTGCTTTCTACCAAGTGACATTTAAGAGAAATCCAGGTGCAAACCCCCTCAGTCAGTTTGTTTGCAATGACACACTGTCAGCTGAAGAAATGATCTGTCACCTCAGGAAACTCATCAAAGAAGGGGTGAAAACTCTGACAGGTTGGTATTAGGTTGTGGTCATATAATTTATACATTCCCCCATTATAAGGTGGCTTTTGCTCAGGAAAAGTGGGTCACTGAGGTGAGATCAGAACAGACACCCATTCTGCCGTTATCCAACGCACTACTGGTGGCTGCAGTGGGTAACTTGATGAGCGGGATACCTTCTAAGTGTGGGCATTCAGGGGCTGTACTTTGCTCACTGGTATCAAATAATTTGGCCCATGCACTGTGATCCAGGAAACAGCTGAAAAGATAGCAGATGCAGAGGTGGGAATATTATAGAACTCACTGGATTCTTGGAGGATTCCAGTGGATTGAAAAACTGCTCATATAACACCCTGTTCATGAAAGGAGGGATACAGAAACAATAGGCTAGGAAGCCTAACATCTGTCATTGAGAAAAATGTTAGCTTCGACTATTAAGGAAGAAATAGCAGAATATTTGGGAAGGCTTAATGCAATGAAACAGTCAACAGGTTTTGTGAAGGAGAAATAATATGACAAATTTGGCAGAGGTCTTTGAATGTAAAATGAGTATAACAAGGCAATAGGTTAAGTGCGTGCAAGAAGTTGGCAAATGGAGTATAATGTGGGAAAATGTGAAGTTACTTATTTTGGAAGGGAGAACAAAAGCACAGAATGTTATTTAAATAGAGAAAAGCTGCAGAAAACTGTGCAGAAAACACAAAGCTAACATACAGATACAGCAGGTAATCAGGAAGGCTAATGGAATGTTGACCCTTATTTCAAGGGGGTTGGAGTATAAGAATAAAGAAGTCTTACTGCAACAGTACAAGGTGCTGGTGAGACCACATCTGGAGTACTATGAGCAGTTTTGGTCCTCTAACGTAAGGAAATATACTAATTTCATTGGAGGCAGCTAAGTGAAGGTTCACAAGGATGATGGTGGTTTTGAGAGATTGTCTTATGAGCAAAGTCTAAACAGGTTGGGACTCTACTCACTGGAGTTTAGAAGAATGAGAGGTGATCTCAGTGGAACATAGGATTCTCAAGGGGCTTGACAGAGTAAGTGTTGAGAGGATGTTTCCCTTCATGGGAAAGTCTGGGACCAAAGGGCATAGTCTCAGAATTAAGAGGTATAAATTTAAGACTGAGATAAGGAGGAATTTCTTCTCTCAGTGGATTGAGAGTCTTTGGAACTCCTTGCCATAGAGGGCTGAAGGGACAGGGTCCTTGTATCTAATTAAGGCCGAGATTGATTTCCCTACTTATCAAGAATCAATCCATGGTTACAGTTTGCAGGAAAGTGGATGTGAAGAACATTGGAGATAACAAGGTGTAGAGCTGGATGAACACAGCAGGCCAAGCAGCATCAGAGGAGCAGGAAGGCTGACGTTTCGGGCCTAACCC